TCGGAATGCTCTCCCAGTCTAGACATTTTCTCATGCTGATCCTCTGCTAATGACACTCTTACTTCGTCTTCGTCAACTACATATGTTTTGCTCCTTCTTCAATATTCGGCTCAGCTGGCATCTCTTCCAAGAAGTGTTTCCTGATATTTCTAACATTCTTCTCCTTAGCTCTGGTTTAGGAGCTCCCCTGGTACCTTATGTATCCTTTTATCATATTTTTTTCTTACTGTGTTGACATTGTACTGGGGGATTATGGGGATTATGCCTCATTTATTTTTACATTCTCAGTGCTTCGCATAGTGCATGGCATATCAATAATTATTCAGTGAGTTGAATTGTCTGGATTTCAACAACTGGAGAGGTGGACAAAAATCTGTGGCAGCTGGGAAGCACACGTTAAAGAGTCGTGGTGACTAAACCACTTTCCTTGTATATTTCGTCTCTAATGGGTAAGTCATTCCTCTATTGCTTAATTTGTGGTCCATTACACTTTCCAGTTTCTTCTTGGAGAGGAACTGATCTATTTTCGAGGATTCAATTATCTCTAGTCCTGATCTTACAACGTTTTTAAACCAGCTACTTACTACCAAGATCAGTAGATCAGTACCTCGCTGTACAGAAATTAATATCACCTGGGAGCTTGTTATAAAAGCAGAATCTCGAGCCCCAATCTAGACCTCTTGAATCAGGATCTGCATTTTAACTGGTTTCCCAGGTCATTCTCATGTGCTATAAAATGTTAAGGAGCACCAGATTTGTAGCAGGTGCCTTCAAGAATAGTACTTTCCCTGAATTTCCTGATATATAAATGTATTCATCTTTGAAGGCTCAGGAAAAGGTATTGGGACTGTTGCAAGGAGAATGAAATATTGATGAGGTCTTGGTCAAAATCTGGAAGTAATTTTCTGATCAAGAAAATCTCGAATGAAACACTATATATTAGATGAGGACGAGGTGTACAATCTAGATATTTAAAATGGTTTCAAATAAGCAAGAAATCAGTTTTTCAGCTTAATTAAGCCTCTGCTTGGAAATAAAATGTTTATCTTTTTAAAGAGAAACCACATTTCTCGAAAAAAAAATGGACACACCCCATCATGGCAAACACATTTTTTATTTGGTGGCAGCTAAATGACCTAAGCGAGGATTTCAGAAGCTATCTCCTGGTTTCCGTTTTCCGTTACACTCCCGAGGCAAAGCAAGTATTTGCTTTTAGCATAGTTGATACCCAAGCACTTTGCAAATGTTTCCACAAAGCCAGCTGCCCTTTATAGATCCCCCTGGGAACCTTTCTTTTGGTTACTAACCCTCAAGTGCCTACAACCCCTATTTGCAAAGGTATTTATCAAATGGGAAAGGCTCATGAATCTTCAAATCTTTTGCAGGAGGATGCTCAAGGCCCCAATTTGAAAAACTTTGTCCCTTAGCTCAGACCTCTGGGGTCATCTGAAGATTTGCTCTCCCAGCCTAGCCATCCTAGTGTAGCTCCAGGAGAGCAAAAATAAATGAATAAACCCACACAGCACCTCTATATTATTTTTGGCTGACTGTGATAGGATTGAAAACTGAGAAAATTCATCCATCATCTTGAAAGCATCATAGAATTTTGAATGTAATTTTGGAGCAAAATTTCTGTTTATGGATGTTGTGGCCACATGGAATTTTGTGTTTACTGCCTTTGCTCTTTCACTAGTTCAGTAATGGTTTTTTCCCTGGGGGTCTCCTTTCTTTTATTTACTGTACCTCTCCCCTCTTGTAAAAAAGGGAGTCCTTGAATGCAATCGATGACTGACCTTTAATTCCATGTGCTCAATTGAAAAAAAATAAAGCACTCCTTTGGAGAATAAGGTACAAAATTGTCAGCAACAGAGACTTGATAACTACTGAGATGGAGTGGTTTTCCAAGGACGTGACTGTGGATTCAGTTCTTACTGTTCACACATCTACTAGTTATAGTTAGTTCAAGTATATAGACTCGTGCGCATGCGCACACGTGTATGTACATGCCCGCGTATGCAAACAAAAAAACTTGAACTCTCCAGCACGTACCACCTGTTTCCACATCATTGTGGTTACAAAAGGTTTTTTTCCCCGTCTTTTTAAATTTTAATTAGCTGAGCTGTCCTGTTTTTCAGCAACTTGGTTCTTCTCTAACATATGGGCTGTAACCGTCTTTCTTTTCATTAGACTTGGGCCTTGTTTGTCATTTATACCATACTTTTGCCTTTCTCTTTCATTTTGAAAGAAAGAGAGGTTTTTCTATTATTTTAGAGCAAAGCACCTCTGGTTTATGTGGCGACTCTTGTGGCTTTCTAAATGCACTTGATTTAGCTTTCACTGTGTAATTACTGCCAAACAAGTTAATTGCTTTATAAGTGTCCAAAATTCCCTGGTTTAATTTTACTTTCATATGCAACCTTCATTATACATCTAGTGTTCAACATAAACACAAATGATTGTTAATGAATGCCTAATGCCATATTCATTAGAAAATCAGGTTAATGACTGGCAATGAATGTCCCAGCTTTATTCTTTCGTCTTTTTTTTTTTTTTGCTTCTTGATTACAAAGCTTTTTTGTTTACAAAGAAATTCTACCTGCATCCTAGGCTTGCTTAAAAGTTCAAGATAAAGCTTTTCTAAGGAATCAAATAACCCCAATCCCTGATTCTTCTTTCTTCTTGCAGGTGCCTTTACTCTTTAGAAAGAGTCTCTTATTAAAATGAAAGAATGTATATGATTTCCTCAGACTGTTGGCTATCATGAAACCTTATTGTTTGGAGGGCAGAAATCTCAGGACTGCTGTGTACAGATGTTCAGGTGGTGCACTGAACAATCTTAGGAGGCATCGTTCACAGATGCTGCCTAGTTGTGCCATCCATAACCTGCATAACTTTGAGTAGTGGCACTTAGAAATCTCCTTTAAGAATGTGTTACAGCAGTGGGGTTTGGGACAGCATTTCGTGCTTGGTGCTGACCACGTGGGCAAGGGTTATCTACGTAGAAGACAGCCAGATGTGCGAAGGCACATGGTTGGAGTGAGTGGCAAGAAGTCTACTGAAGAAGAGGACTGAGATGCACAATTTGAAGTTGGGCCTGACTCTCTACATGGCGATTCTCGCTTTGTAAATGAGATCCCTTCCCTTCTCCACAGACATGGGGTTGCTTTCCCAATGAAACTTGAAAGCTCGATTTTGAAGAACATGTGGATGCTGATAACTGAAAAAAGGATTAGGGGGTGGGACACAGAGTTCAGACTCTGAAATTTGGCCACTGGCTTATCAGAACATGCTTGTGTGATCTTGGGCAGATTCTTTATCTATCAAATGTGAATACTGATGATCTAGGATATTCCTTCTAGTTCTGTGCTCTGTGACTCCTTTTGGGATCATGGGAGAGTCCACTTGTATTCTCTAATCCCATTGATTGGATGCTTACTATGTGCCCTGGCACAGAGTTGGTGTCAGGGATACTGTGTAAATGACACATTTCTTAATTTCATGGGAAGACGAATAAGTGTCGCCCACACACCTCTGGCTGTACCCACTGGGCAGTGAAAGTGTAGCACACTTACAGTCTCATTCATTTTCAGTGCTTCAAACTCTTTTTAGGCTTCCCATTTTTTTCCCTCAGATTCCACTGAGAACCTCCTTCTATATCTCTTATCAGATTCCGTCAGTCCTGGTACTTGATCTCAGATATGTCACCATCTCTTCCAGTTTTGTCCCTTATTGATGTTTCCCATCTGTCAGCCAAATTTACATACTCTCTACTACTTGGCTTCATATATGTCTGTACCCCATGTGTCTCTTCTTTATAACATTTAACATATTTGAAATTTTGCCTTTACTTGTGTGATTCTTTGGTTACTGTCTCCTTCTTTTGACTTTAATCACCTTGAGGAAAGGAAGTAGTAGACACACCATTGTTTTTCTGGTATCTAGATATCTGCTCATATTCTGGTCATAGTCTTGTTGGGATTTCTCCTTGATGACACCAGGCTCCCCAGGCCAATAAAAGGCTGAAGCACAATTTTAGCAAATACTGACCAACAAAAAGTCGAGGACCCTGAGGATTAGAGTTAACCTAAAGTAACTAAATAAAAAGTATCAATTGAAAAGCAGAAGTATAAATAAATCCTGATATGATCTTATCGAGGTTTGATATTTTACGTAAAATTACAAGATTTTCTACCATTGTCACATCCTCTGGGGTGCCTTTTCTGACCTCCATGAATGGACCTATTGTATATTTGTGTCAGTCAGGTTTCTGTTATGATAATTCTAAATAACAACTCCAAAATCGGTAGCTTTTAACAAGCAGCATTTGTTTCTTATTCATGTTTACTGGCTATGTGTTGGCTAGGGCTCTGCTGGTCTCAGCTGGGGTTGGCTCAAGACTGTGGGTCAGGTTCAAGTTTATTACATTTGTCTCATTCTGGGACCAGTGGCAACCTGGGGCATATTTTTTCCTTGCTAAGACAGAAATGCAAGAGGCCAAGCCACTCCTTGCATGTACAGTTAAAGCCTCTACTCATGTTGTGTGTGCAAATATGTCGCTGGCCAAAGCAAGTCACAGGGCCTAGCTTAGCATCAATGAGACAAAGAAACATACTTCGTTTACTCAGATGGGGAGTGCCTCAAAGCCACATGGCAAAGGGTATAAATATTTAATTCTATTTCATCCTAATACATCACAATATTCTCAAAATACGTGATCTCATTCAAAACATTTTTTACCTTTGAAAATTTGCATTTATTTGTTTGATTTTTTAGTTACTCCCTTTGTCTTCTTCTGGACCCTTGAGGGTAGGAATTGAGTCTGTTTGGCTTCACTGGCACCTAGGACAGTGTTCTGGACAATATCAGGTTATTCAGTAAATGAACAACTGTTGTGTGAATGAATGAGCTTCTGATCTGTCTAAAAGCCATCTCAGGAATGGAAATACATCTTTGGGGGAATTACTGAAGTGATATTAAATGCCTTGTTTCAACTTTTTCAGAAATCCTCTTGCTATATTCCCATTGTGAGAAGTGCAACCTTGTGGGAGAGGAGCGTATCACACGCAAATGTGAGTAAGCAGTGTCCTTGTGTAGGACTGTATCCCTAGTTTCATCTTTTGGGGTTCAGTTGCTTTATACATAAGAAGACTTGTTCCTTGTATATTTTTATTTGGTAACTGGTGAAAGATTTACTTTTTAAATTTCAGAATAAGAAGAATGTCAAAACACATTTCCCATAGCACTTTGCATCTCTGAGAGATTCATGCTACGTTTTTATCCTTTACACGCAGACATGTACTTTGAGAGAAAAAGGTATCATTCATTTGATGAACAGTAATAGAAATCACAGTGCATTAGGTAGCTTTGCAGTGCTTGTATGTGGCACAACACACAGAATCTAGGACAATAATTCCATCTTAGTACAATCTAAAAATAAACAACTGAATTTATCAAGCAAAAGCCCGACCCGTTAGCAATGTTCTTCCCCACACCACCTTCTACTCACTGATCACTAGTGATCTCCTCTTGGTGAGAACGAAAGTGAATGTTTGTCACCGCAATGTGCACATGCATGTCTATAAAAGACTGATGTGCACATGGAGATGGTCGCCAGTGCTGGCCCCGCCAGGTGTCACAGAGCTGTGGTAGCTTCCCAGGTTTAGTCCCACCAGAGCTTTGTTTATAAAAGTGGGATTGGAGGAAAAAAGAACCTTTTAGCTAACACTGAAATTTACATCCTAAGGGCTCTAACTGCCTTCCTGTCCTTCCTGTTTACCATGAAGAGAACGGCAATGCCCTTCAGAGAGGACCACATAGCACAGTGACACTGACGGAATCAGGAATTCCCCGGCACATGGGGGAGGGGCGACTCTAGTTTTGTCTTCTATAGTCTCTCCTTTCCAAAATTCACGAGCAGGATTGGATTACTCCAAATTACTCCTTGCTGAAAAGTAGCATATGGTGACTGGAAATAGAATTCAAGGGTAGAAATCAAGAAATGTGGCCAATCACATTTTAAGATGAAAGAAAAAGGCCAACTGTAGGAAGAAAAATATTACCTAGTTGAAAAACTGGACCCGATTTTCTAACTATTCTTCTATCACTAAAGCACAGGAATATATTTAAATTAGGTATCTGCAAGATTCTGTTTCGTTAGTTATTTTTCCATTTGGACTTTAAGTAATTGACCTGTTAAGAATCTTTGCAACTAAGGAATTCCACGACTCTCAGCATGGGATGTGTCAAGAAGAAAATGGAGCCCAGCGAAGTCCCCTTATTGCTGCCATTCTTCCATTAGTATGTGAAGGCTCTGAGAAGGTAAAGCTTCATGAAAGGGGACCACAGGCCCATTCACTGCACAAGGAATGATGCAGGTGACAGTGATGCAGGAGAACTGTACATTACTGATTAGCTTATACTATAGCAGTATCATGTCGCTCAAGCTTACAGTCAGGTATCACCTGGGTGTCTGCCTCTCCTTTCCTCTGACAGCCGAAGTGAGGACTGGGAAGCAAGTGTGAGATCGAGGGCTTGGCATCAGCTGAATCCTCTTTCAAATGGTTTTATCACCTCCTTTTTCTCTTTTCCCTGTTGTCTTTCTCTTTCTGTGTTTGTAAAACTTTGGAGGAGTTATAGGATAGGACCAAAAAAATTAAGATGTGTATCATTACAAAACTTTCATATTATTTGTCATCGTTTATAGTATATTGACTAATACGGAGGAGTTAGGATAGGACCAAAAAAATTAAGATGTGTATCATTACAAAACTTTCATATATTATTTGTCATCGTTTATAGTATATTGACTAATACTTTATGACATATATTATACATTGTAGTTATGCTTTGTACATCATATACAGACATATTTTACATAATGTTAGACATCAAATGATCCATATCATGTGTGTGTGCATTCCAATATTATATATTATGTATTGTATTTACTGACCACCTATGACAGAGGAGTGCTCTAAAAGCAGCAGTAAAGAAAAAGAATCTGCCTTCTAGGAGCCCATCATATACTGAGGAACATAAATAATGAAAAATAAGCAAAAAATAAATAGAGTAATTGCAAGTAATGAAAACTACAGGGCTCTGAAAAAGCATATTGGGGTAATGAGGTCGAGCTTGATGTGGAGTGGTGGGGAGGTTACTGCTTTAGCTAAGGTAGGGTGGTCTGGAAAGACCTTTCTAAAGAGGTGATTTTTGAGCCCAGACAAGATCGATGAGAAAGAGACAACCAGATAAAGTTCTGACCAGCAAAAAATTTTTGGAGGCAAACTGTTCAAAGCAGAAAAAACAGCCTGAGACAGACTGGGCTCAGCATGTTTAAGAGTGGACAGGATGTCAGTGCAGCTGGAAGTGGAGAGGGAAGGAGTGAGTAGAGCAGTGGGCAGGGACCGGATCGTGAAGGGCCTTGCGGCCAATGAAAACAGTTTATTTTCTGGTCGCGAAGCAGAAACCATATGAGAGTTTATTTTGTAGCTGGAGATAAAATGATCTGATTTACTCTTTAAGAAGTTTGCTGGATGATACATGCAGGATACATTTTTGGGAAATAAGAAAACTTGAGTGCCATTAGGAAGTTATTAGAATATTCCAGTGGTCAGATTTTAGTAATATTTTTGAGGTTGAGATGATAGGACCTCATAATGAGTTGGCTGTAGGGTATGAAGAAAAGAGTAATCAAGATGGACTTTTGGGTTTTTAGCCTAAAAATATTGGGGTGGATGATTTACTTCCTAGGTGATAGTTTTGGGGATCTTGAGAATGGATTTTTGGCGGAGATCATCGTAGCTGTATTCGGAGAATATTAAATTTGAGATGCTTAATGCTTAATATCTCATTAATTAGAACTTAGTCTCATGATCAGTCCTAGCTGCAAGAGAGGTTGGGAAATATCCATTAACTGGGAATATTGTGACCTCAAACTAAGGTTCTGTTACAATGGATGAGAAAAAAATGGATGCTGGGATACGTGACTAAAAGTATTTGGCACAGAAAATAATAATAATAATATACAAAAATTTATTTCGAAACGACTCATAGGTCAAAGAAGAAATAATGACAAAAAGGAGAAAATACTCAAAATTAAATGATAATAAAAAATTTAGGATGCAGCTAAAGTGGTTCTTAGAGGTAGATTTATGTCTTAAATTTCAGAGAAAAATGAAGGTTGAAAATGGAAAATTGCAGATAAGTTATTCAAACAACAGAATAAATTCAAAGGACACAAAAAGAAAGAACTGATCAAAGAAAATAAATCACTAAAATAGAAAAAAATACAATTAGACATAATCAACAAAGTGAAAATCTTGTCATTGGAAGGCGTGAATAAAATATAAACCTAGCAAGACTGATCAGTAAAAAAAACAACAAAAAAAGGAGAAACAATATTATGAATAAAAAGAGAAATGTGTGTACGAATACCATAGAGACTCAGAAGATTAAGAGTCAGTACTATATACTATGAATAACTTAGGTCAATAAATTAAAAACACTATTGGATCAATATTCAGAAATTTTTATTCCCTCGACAATAGCATGCCAAGAGAGTTTTGTGCTGAGTTCTATTAAAATTTCAAATGTCATATAGTTATTACATAAAGAAAGAAAAAAAGCCACTTAAGTTATTTTTTGAAGCTCGTAATGCATAGAACGTAGAATTTGTTAAACTATGGATCAATCTCACTTATGAAAAATATTAAATTAAGTACTAGAAAAATCAGATTTATCAGTGTATATAATAAAATACATCATAATAAGTAGAATTCTAAAGATACAAGAATAGGTTAACATCAAAAAATAAATTCATTAAATGTACATCAATAGATTAAGGGAATAAAATCATATAACTGTCCTAATAGACATTTCAATATTAATTTTTGAGAAGAAAAAAATTAACTTTTGGAAAACTGAGAATAGAAAGGAAGTCCTTTAACCTGAAAAAAATCTATAACAAGCTTAGAGAAAAAATAATCAGACTTAATAGTGAGCCTTTGGAAGCATTTTCATTAAAGTCAGAAAAAACAAGAATGTCTACTATTACTGCTTCTATTCAACAATGTCCTGGGGGTTCAAAGCAATGAAATATATGAAAAAAATGAGATACAAGAATTGGAGAAAAAAGGACAATATATATATTACATACCTTCAAAATTATCTTCAAATTATTAAAACATATAAATTATTAAAACCAAAACTATCAATTAGGTTGAAATAAATCTAACAAAATATTTGTAAAACATATATGGAGAACATATGTTTAAAAATATTACTTAAAAATATATAGGAAGGCCTAAATAAAGGAAGATATACTATGCTAATGAATGAGAAGACAATTGTAGTGTTTTAAGTGGATAAAGATCTGATCCTACAAGTTGCATGGAAGATCAAGGACTAAGTGTAGATACAAGAGTTATAAAGAACAAAATGTGGAACTTATCCTACCAGATACCAAGACTTTTATAAAGCTATAGTAATAAGACAATGTGCTATTGGCTCGAGAATAGGCCAATGGAACAGATATGAAAGGAGGAGCATTAGATACTGATGGGGAAAGGAACAGCTATCTAATGAACGGTAGTTGCGACAACTGGCTATCTCTACAGAACAGAAGGTGAAATTAAATGCCTACTTCCCACCATACAGAAAAGTAAATTTGGGGTGAGTTTATGACCCGAATGTGAAAGGAATAACCTTTGAAGGAAATAATAATATTTTTATGACCTTAATCCCTTAGGAAGAGTTTCTTAAGTAAGGCATAAATATCACAAACTTTAAAGTTATTGATAAATTTTACTACATTAAAATTAAAATGTTTTATTTACCAAGATTTATAACAAAAGTTAAAAGACAAGCAAATATTTAGAAAGCAAACGCTAATGAGAGGTTGGTACCTAGACTTTACAGGGAATTCCTACCAGTCAGTAAAAGAAAGATAGGTAATGGGGATGAAAAATGAGTAAAGGACATAAATTGACAATTCACAGAGCAACAACCTGCATAGCCAATAAATGTGTAAATAGATATTTAGGCTTACTATATATCCTTCAGTTGACATAGA